CAAACATGTGTGAACCTTGACACAGAAATAAACTATAAATATAATATTCATCAGGTTCATCAATTGCCGCCATTTTGATAACGTGTCGTGTCAAAATGCGAGAGACTGGTTATGATGAACTAATTTGGAACAAAGGCTGATAGTTTCGAAAGAAACTGTTTGGGGCTGCGTCGGTGGGAGTAACGAAATAATTTGGATATATCAACAAAGTTGAAATGGTAAATTGGCCACCGTAATGATTACAAAAGCTGACGGTTCGAGCGTCAGGTGTTCTATATCTAGTCATGGACGACTCACGGTGTTTCCAGCAAACAGACGGATGAAGAACGTAACAGCTTGGTTTGTTATGGATGTGCACAGAATTGGCACAAAAAAACTCACCACTAGCAATCCAAAAATTAATTATACAAAAAGTTTATCCTTTCAGCTTACGCCTCTATTTATCGTGAGATTTGTCTGTCTCGTCGTGAGACCGTGAGATTGAACTGAAAATCGTGAGTCTCACGACAAAATCGTGAGACTTGAGAGGTCTGTAAGTCAAGGTCAACCAACCAATGGTAATTCGAAAGATAACAACCCTTAACTTTCTTTCACCCCTGCAAAACGGGACAAACGGGGATCAAGAGAGGTAATCGCTCACACAGGTGGTCCACACAAAATAAAAATAAAGGCTCCATAGAGTATCGGTATTATAAAGAAACGATAAAAATGTACAACAAATCCCTCAAAAATACCACTGACATTGATTTCGGGAGATAAACATGGTTTAAAGTTTTCATGAAAGATCATTTGGCCGTTCAGTGTAGGTGAAGGACTACACCAACAAGCCGTTAGGACTTAGTAAAGGGTAACCACGACTGCTTAATAGAGGTGAATAATTAATTAGTTAGGTAATAGAAATTTCGGGATTTTGACAACTGACTGCTTACCGTACGCGTGACCACTTAGTACGGTGCTGCTTTTCACAAGTCCAATTTTAATCATTTTGATAAAGACAACTGCTGTAGGCATACACAAAAAGTATTGTGCAATAAATGGAAAGCCACTGGCCATACTCGTGCGGTACCACAAAACAGCAGACACGTCCGTCGACAAGTATCGGGGACTGACAAGAGCAGGAAATCGCCCTGCCGGCACAAGAGAAAAAAGGAAAAATCCTTCGATGATCTAGGAAATTGAGAGGCTCAGGATGACTAAAACTAAGCTATACACTTTAGCCCTGATTCGAAGTAACAGTAACATTCTTCTTGGAATGAAAAAGAGAGGATTTGGTGTGGGACGGTGGAATGGTTTTGGCGGGAAAGTGCACTCAAATGAAACAGTTTTGGAAGCGGCGAAGAGGTACCATTACATAGCGCATTTTCTTTCTCTTTTTTTTTAATCGACTGACGATAAAGGAGTTTATTATATAGGCTAGATTTGTTTGATAAAGTAGACGCTGGTTTGACCGATTTGAGAGGGACCGTACTAAGTGTTAAATGCACGCGGTTCGTTCACAAGAGGGTAGAGTTGATCACAATATGCATAAGTAAATCGCTGTATGATAAATATTTGAGACAGGTGGAAAGAAGCGTACGATAATAAGTGTTTTTATCGTACTTCAACCCATCATCTACGTATCCAATGCAGACGCCTAGATGACGTCACTATCAACAATTTTTTGGCTTCAGTAAATAATACAAAAAGATTCCATGTCTCCGTGTATCTGTTCACTGATAGATTATAAAATACGTCAATTTACAAACTCAGCTGCGCCTTGTTCTTTTCAAATTCTGTTATCATCTGTGATCTATAACTGAACAAAGTGACATGGAACCCATTTCTTAAACTAGAATAACCATTGTGAATCTCTTTCGTAGCATTAGTTATGGGTGAGCAAAATGTTCCCTCCAAAAAATTAACAATGTTTGCATTACCTTTAAGGGAGCAGACTCTCTTTCAGTGGTTAAAAACAGAGCATGATTTCCTTATAACCCCAAACTTCATTATGTCTACAATAACTAGGATCATAGTCCCCTTGATTAACTATGCTAGGATAAAAGATAACAATGACAAGACAATGTATTACCTACGGAAATCTCTTCAAGAGCTGGGTTATCAAAAGTTTATGACAAATATTACCAATGCTCCACCTGACTTTGTAGATTTAACTTACTGTAAGCAGATTCTAGTTTTGTATATTGCATTGAGGACCGTCTGATTTACTCTCAAATCACTAGCCTTGTCACTGTACTTGTAGGGAATTACATGAAGAGTCTGGTCTTATGGTAAATGAACTGCAGGAGGCTGGGACTTTAAGGTTTGAATTTATTGGTGAAACTGAAATAATGGAGGTCCATGTATTCACCACAAATAAGTTTGAAGGAACACCAACAGAATCAGAAGGTAAGGACAAGGATGGTATCTAGAACATTAACCTGTTCAAAAATTTAAAAATCATATATTATTTATGAGTGGCACATTCTAACACAATTAAATTTTGACAAGGTAAAATTTGGGATTTAACAACCAAGCTTTATGTGATAATTGATAATATTTTTTTCAGAAATGCGGCCTCAGTGGTTTCCAATCTCAGAGGTTCCATTTGATGACATGTGGCCAGATGACATTCTCTGGTTTCCATTCCTGTTAAAAGGACAAAAGTTCTCTGGATATTTTAAGTTTAAAGGACACTCAGAAATACTTGATTATACACTAGAGCCAGAATGTTAAGTTTAGCATGTTTTCAAATACTAACATAGAAAGGTAAATGTTCAGGTGTAGCATTTTAACAGGGTTCTTAATGGTACATAAACCATTCAAAATCAATGTAGTGTAACTTAATGAATTGAAAATGAAGAATCTTTACTAATACAACACAACACTTAAATGATTTGTTGTTAAAAATGTGATACTGAATGTCTCAGCTCCAAGTTAAATCCAGATTGGTTAATTAACCTGGTTAAAACCAGACTGAGTGTACTCAGTCAATGCTTTTGGGTTAATTTCAGAGAAGAAATTGTCTGCAACAATGACTTCATATTCTTTTACTACAGGGTTTGCAAATGCCTGTCACAACTATTTAGTTGTGTGATCAGAATTTGCAAGTACAACTTCCAAATTTAAAAGCAGGGCTCGAAAGTAATTTTTGGAGCACTAACCCTTTGGGTCAGTAGACATCTTTTTTGCTAACCAAATTAAAAAGATTAGCATCCAAGCTCACAAGTTACGATATCTCAAATATTCAACATTTTGATAATAACAACTAAGACAAATTAAAGAGTAGCTGAAATTGCATGGTGACCTTAAAAACGTTTACAATTATGCACTTATTTTATTTCCCTCTCATTTACCATGATTAGTCAAGAACAGTACATCTACAGCACATTCTCTAGAAAGAGTTTAAGTTGATTTAACAACTTGTGTATTCTAAGTATTCCTCTGAGAGTCGGGTCTACATGCTCTTTGTCCCAAAGTCCACCAATGTTTAAATATATTAGAAAATCTTACTAACCATGTCTGGTTAGTTGGACACGTTTTTAGTAACCAAATGTTGAAAAATAACAAACCATAGATTAACGGGTTACCGTTAATTTTGAGCCCTGAAAAGTCTTCTCTGGTAGGAGCTTATTATAAGAAAAGACAAACAAAACACACACTATGATGTACTGGACCAACCTTTTCTTGCACAGTATCAAACATATTGAATGTGGGCCATTACTTACTTACTATTTCAAAATAGAGGGTTGAAGTAAGTGAGCAGTGTTTTTCACAGATTTTTCATAAACCTCTTATAAAAGAAAAGTAACTGGCAGGAAACAAGTGGGCTTCCAATGGGCCTTAGCATGTATTCTGCTAGCTTGTTTTCTCTTTGCTTTTACTAATCATTTTCTTTCAGTTTAAATCAATCTTGTGAGCATTTATGGAAATAGGGCAAAGATTACAATCTATTTCATACAAGACAGGTATTTACTGTTCTGTCTTGATGGAAGTAGCTTGGACTTCAGAAACAAATAGGTAGTTGTGAAAACCTTACTAAGACTGTCCCAATAATGTGCTGTTGTGGTTAACTTTTCAATCAGCTTTGTTAAAAAAATAAACCAAACAAAATAACAAACAAGTAAACTGAATATTGATCTCAACAGTTGAAAATGTTCTGTTCTTTGGTGTTACATTACTAAACATGTTCAGTACAATTATCTTTTGAGTAGCTATTTGTGCAGTTGATTTATGTAATGGAGTGTAACTATTTCAGGTGAAATGAGTAACTTGAAGTTGGTTTTCTTTCTCGGTGAGCCCGTGCAATGAAATGTGTAGTTTAAAAAGAGAAATGAAGCAGTAGGGAAGTACTTCAGTGCTAATACTGTTTAAAGAAAATAACCTTTATTTTAAACTAGTAATAATGTTGATAGAGAGAAAACTTACATTAAATGTACTACATGTTTTAACACAAATTTTTAAAATACCTTATACTTCTGAAACATTAGCTTGATTCATACACATGGATGTAAATACCAATTTAACAGACATTACATAGTTGTATGTGAAAGATAATACCACTAATAATTTAATGTCTAGTTGTTTGTTCACAACAATGATATTTGTCTTGCCTATTACCATAGCTGTCTGGTAATATAAAATGTTATTTTTTTTGGTAAGATCCTCAGACCTTGAGCAGAATAAATATTTAGACCACACTTTATAAAGTAAAGCTACATTTGACTGCAGATATAGTGTCGAAAATTAATTCAATGGAAAACATTCAGAAGGCAGCAATAAAGCTTAGGTATGACTAAAATTATTCTTTATATTGCAAGAGCTGAAAACTTTATAGCAGTAAAAAATTAATCTTCCAGGACTATTCATGTAAGAAAGGCAGTGATAGTTGTTGAAGTGTTCTTGTCTCTTGAATCAACAGATACATGTTGGCCCCTCACACATCCCTCTAGGTTATCAAGTTTACCACAGGCTTGACACTGTTATCAAAAACAATCAATCATATTTATTGGATGTAATGCATGGAAAAATGATGCAACTGTATTTTTAGTTATCCATATTTTTTTCAAACAATCCAAAATAATTCCTTTAAAACCAATATGAGATTGACAAAAAACGGTTATGTAACATTTTAAGAGTTTGTTACATTTTGCACATCCTTTTTTCAGTAGTGCACATTTTCAATCTAAATAAATTGACTCTATAATTAAAATGAACCACAGAGTAATTAAAAAATAGTAATTAATGAGTAAGAAAACATCCATTCTTTTCATCAGAAGGAAGGGTACACAGAAATCCAATAGGAAGTGTGGGGGCTCAAGAACCAACTTGAAACCTTATTTAAAAAAAAAGTATGAACCAAGGTAAGAGGGGAGGGGGTTCTAACCTAAACTCCCCAATGTATGAGGTAAAGTATATCCTCTAAACAACATGGCAACCATATTAATGTCTAGATGTGTCAACACTTACCATCTTTTAGGTGAAGAGGAGAGAAATCCATTGTAGATAACAGATTGAGATAAAAAGAACAAAAATAAATTACCCTTGGCAAAATCTTATCACATACAAAATGATTCGTAGAATATACAACATACAAAATTAATATATAACTCCATCAAAACATCTATTTCAACAATTTCTTTCAGAATACTCGAATTTCACTTTGCTGTAAATCAAAGCAGATAATTGTTATTAATGTAATGTTTAGTTTGCAGTCGTATTGCATGCATTGACTACTTGTCAGTACTTACCCCCTGTTCACAAATTGTCCATTGTTGTAACGGAACATTTGTTAAAATGAAAAAGAAGAAGTTAATTTAAGATTATTATAATGTGAAAATAATTTAACAGCTGTAAATTTGAGAAATTCGCATTTTTTTCCCAACTGCAAACATTCTCATTAGTTACTGTGACACTTTTTCCAGACAAACATCTATAAACAGGCAACTTGAAAATGAAATCCATAACATGAAAGGGTTCCCCTAACAACTTCAACTAGTTATTTCAGTGTCAAAAAAAAGTTTAGAAGAATTTGTCTTCTATGTGTAAATCATCACTCTTGGTGTAAGGAAAAGTTACTGTTTCAATATTCAGGGTTAAAATTGGTGTTTGTAACTTTCAGTCCATTTGATAACAAAGAGACAGTTAACAAAGAGCTGTTAAAAAATGTATAGAAGCTAAGAGAATGTGCACAATGAGTGTCACTTGAAAATATTCCCTTCTCCATAGAATACAAATTGTTGATTGCATCTTTGTGACAAATGATATACTTAAAGAATCTTTGCTATGATTTTTCCAAGAGCATTTGAAATTTTTTCAGTTTCAAAAAAATTTTGCTGGCAGCACAGATCTATTAATTTATAATTAACTCTTAATTTATTACATTATCATAAGTGTAACATTTTGTGAAATCACAAGTAAGAAGTGGAACTTACCCCCTGCAAAACCAAGCCAGATTTATGGAAAACAAACAGAACAAAAACAATTGGTATTTAATAACTTCAGTTAACTACTGTGAGTTTGTTTGATTGTTTTTGTTAGTAGTAGTTGTAGTTCATTTATTTGTTTAAGCAGGTTGATTAATTGGCAGCTGTAATAGCTGATATGGACCTGCTGTCCTAACCCACCCATCCCACCCCAGGGGAGGACATCCATCACACAGTAATCTCGTGTGTGGGAAATTAACATCTCCTGCCCCAACCCTGCAGGAGACGGGACCTCCATTTATTCGTCCCTATCCGAGAAGACTAGAATATCTAACCATTTCTTGATGTTATAGAAAGGTAGCAAATTCTTCTCAATTATTTTAAGACCTTGCGTGTTGGTCCGGCCCGGGCTAGAACCCTAGACCTCCTGCACTACAGTCCAGCCCTCTATCCATTGAGCTACCGGGAGGCGTTTCAGAACAGATTTAAGCTGTAGCATTCTTTACTTGACCATGTATGTTGAGAATAAGTATAAATTTACTCACAGATTCATGCAAATTGAAAACGTTGTGCATTGATTAGTTTTATTTTACCATGTTGGTCAAACCAGAACAGATTTAAGCTGTAGCATTCTTTACTTGACCATGTATGTTGAGAATAAGTATAAATTTACTCACCGATTCATGCAAATTGAAAACGTTGCGCATTGATTAGTTTTATTTTACCAGTCTCATGGCATTACATTGTTTAATTCAATCCTAACTTCTAGCTTGGATCAAAAACAAACAAAAATGATAACAAGTAACCACATTTTGAGTTTCAACTGAAGAACAGTGTTCAATCCACTCAAGTATCTCATTATTTAAAAAAAAATTAACTATAAAAGAGGAATTTTACTTACAAACTGAAGAGGAGGACATCACAACAAATGCATCAGTGCAAGAAAAGAAACACAAGAAGAAAATTAATGATGGCAGGCATGTGAGCTGTCTTAAAGAACTCAGCTACTTAGGAATGCAATCCTTTAAAATTCAAAACCAGGTAAAAAATTTAGAAAAAAAAAAAAGGTTTCTTTGTGAACAATTTGCATTTTGTGTTCTTGTGCCACTCAATTGAGCCAAAAGTTGAACTTGTAAGCTTTTGGTTCAACCTTGTTGAGCTGCGTCGTTGCAGTACTTTGTGACGGCGATTAGCAGTGACAATCATTATTATTATTATTATTATTTTATATCTTTTATTTTAAGAAAAAAAATTATTCTTAGGTCTGAAAAAACAAGTTTGTCACTTACCACATCCACAACCTTTTCATAGCACATGAAAGAAGGAATAAAAAAAAATCAGATATATTGTACATTCCTAAACTATAAGGTTTTATTCTAGATAAAAAAAAGGCATAAATTACAGCACCTTTGAATTGTGTGTTTATAATTGAAAATAAAACATAAACTTGGTTGAGAAGGGTTTTATTTTGGGAATGGTTGGTTGTAAATCTTACATTTGGATGAGGTTAACCTTCATTTGAACAATTGTAACCTAACTCATCATCCATAAAGAAATTGTAAATTCTCAAATAACACACTTAAACTATTAGATGTTCAAAATGTTATGAAACAAAACAGAGTTTCTAGCAATGAACATTAGCTTCTTTTGGGAGGCACTGTAGCATTTAGTTTTCAAGATTGGGGAATTAATGAATTGTATACTGATAATACTCTGCAAATTAATATTAGTTAGAAAAGGCATTGAACAGAAAACTTTTAACTTGTACATACCGGCTGTCAATGTCAGGTAAGATCCAACACAATTTAGAGGGGAAATGAAAGAGACAAAGTTAACTAGTTAATGATTAATATTTACTTGTATAGTTTTAGTTAAACCAAAATTGTCAGCATAGCTATCATTCTTTGTTTTTTTTTTAAACTGTCCAATAAAGAATTTATTTGGATATCTTAAACTATCCAAATCAATCCTTAATTGGACAGTTTTACAAAATGAAAGAACAATAGCTATGCTAACAATTTCTGATTAACTACCAACTATACAATTAAGAGGACTACATGCTTGTCCAATTTTGGAAATGTTTGGATTCTAAAATTCTTCTGGCAGCCAAATTCGACTTGGCTTACAGCCTCATCCAATTCTGTCCCCAGAATTTTTTTCATCCAATTACTTCCAAATTGGACAGCCTGTAGTCCTATTACACTTCTATATACGTGTACTTTATTTGTGAAAATGCTTAAATTTATATTGTATGATTTTGTTAAAAGTAACAGAAACAGGGACCACAGACTGCTTTTCTTGTAATAGTAACAGTATCAGCTTTGGGTAAACATACATTAAAATAAAAATTTTTTCAAAATGGTAGTCCCAAACGGGTTCATGTCTTCCATTTGGATGTCAAAGTAAGCATACATGAGCATCTCCATGTACTCAGGGCCTTTTAATATAAACTTCCCACTGTATTCATAAGATTCTAACACTTAGCTCATATAGAAAATTTAAATGCATGTGAAAGGTATATGAAAAGGATTTGAATAGCATGCGCAGATGGAGATGCATACCGGTAATTATGCACCATTTCCAACTACTTGTTTGTCATCTGACTAAGCAACCATATTACTATGTGACAACATGGAGCTCATTGTACTGTTGATATTATGAGACACCGCTGCAAGTTATGTTACGTTTCAAAGTGAACTTGAAAGGGCTTTTAAAACTCTCTGTTTGCTACCCCCTCCCTCCCCTACTGAGTTCAGGCTACCAGGGAACATAGCAATGAACTTGTCATCAACAAAAGAAAAGTCGCTTACCCCTTTGTGCCACCTGCAAGCTTCATCATGGTTACGGTGTTCGCTAAATAGCTTCTTGCAATTAGTACATAGATTAGTAGTACTACGAGTTGTGGGAGTTCTAGAGGTCACTGCCGAGGACATCACCGGAGAAGATGGGGCGCTATGAACCACTCTTGGTAAAGCCCTCTTGCAACCAGTTAATTTTGGAGAATGTCTCCCTCCGAGTGCAAGATGATTTGGAGTGTTGGATCTAGAAATTTCGTTCCTGGCAATGGCACTCCACATCTTTGCGCGATTCAAATCTCTTTCCGCGAGCTCGACTTGAAAACTTTCCTCCTGCAATTTCAGACGATGCTCTTTCACTCGCGCGGTCATTTCACGGCGGTTTTGCACAATCATGTGCAAATTAGTCCTTAGGAGACACTTCTGAACGATTCGATGCATTCGTAAATTGATGTATTTTGTTGAAAACCCACATCCTTCACACTGTACGACTCTAAAGTCACAATGTTGGAGATGTAATGGTAGGTCTCTTCGCCGTACCTTTCGATTACAACCGCCGTTCACGCAAACTGTGAAAGTCAGTGGACAGTGATTAGAGCAATGATCATTTAGGTTTCCTAGCGACAGCACTTTTTCGCATCCCTTCGGACAATTAACTTGAAGGCTTTCGTACTGCTGTCTCCATTTCCCATCAACACTTTGGTCACCCAAACACAAGGCTTTCTTGCAAAGAGGACACGTTGGTGTTTTGCGTTTCGTCCTCTTCTTGAAACACTTCTTACATAGCACATGATAACAAGCTAAGCAAACTGGCTCCAGAAAAACATCGTGGCAATGAGAACAAATAAATTCGCTTGGTATTATTTCGTCAAAATGCTCTTGTTTCAGTCCCATGTTGGCGAGGAGAGTGCCAAGCATTTGAAGAGTTAGCTTCGTGACCTAGCGACAAAGTGTTTACACTCAGATAAAAATAATAACCAGATAATCTTACAAAGCATTTACCGCAAGCGTAACCTCACCTATAGTGTGAGTAATGGAATCACGTCAACTATTTTATTGCATTAGAATGGTCGTGAGGTGCTCATTTGCATGACATGCGTGACCATAACAAACGCGTGACTGGTAGGAAGGACTGGTCAAGTCCATGAAGTTGCAGAAAAGGCAGAGAGAGGTTCACGGTCGTTAACCTCTCTCCGTCCTGGCTGCAAGAGCCGAAACTGAGCAATCTTCAATTTCAGTTCGAATAGGCAGATTTTATGATGATAACGGTCTAAGTGGATCAACAAAGGAGGTAAGTTTCTAAAGAAACTGTGGTGCTGCGTCGGCGGGGGTAATAAGGTAATTTGGTTCTATCAACTAAGTTGAAATAGTAAATTGGCCACCGTAAAGAGTTAAATGCCTTTTTTTCATGACAAAGAGGATGATTCTAACACCTCGTACAAAGACACTTTCGAAGCACTTCAGATTCGAAAGTCTGAATGGACTCCCCTAGGGGGCCACTTCGCATCGTTAGATTTTTTCATCAAAAAATGTCGGCACGATATAACTTCAAATCAATCGTAGCACCAAATTTTCCGATCTTTCCTCTGAAGAGTGGTCGGCACTGAAAAGCCTAAAAATCCGCAGACATTGTTATCGAAGCGGCGCCGTAGTTGTTTGAGGGACCAACCTGTACCAAAAAGAAGCTTTGCGGCAACTTTCTGCCGGACACCTATTTTTATCAAAATGTTGACAAAGATCTTACTTCCACTAATCAAAAGAATGTCAAAAATACGATTAACGAACTCGTAGCTAAACAAGAATTGCCGGTCACTGCAAAAAATCTCGTCATTACCACTCCTAGAACTCCTTGTATTTACTTTTTACCAAAAATTCATAAACCTAACGAACCAGGTCCGCCCATTGTCTCGGCTTGCAGTTGTCCTACTGAACTTATTTCCAGCTATTTCGACAAAATTATGGCTCCCATCGTCAAAACTTTACCAACATATATCAAAGACAGCCAACACGCTCTTCAATTTTTTCGCGAATTTAATTTCCTTGGCCAAGACAAACTTCTTTTCGCTATGGATATTACATCTTTATACTGTAATTGGCGAAGGTCTTCTGGCCCTCAAAATTTTTTTTGATCAACGCACTGTTAACGAACCTAGATCTGAAACACTACTTCGCCTAGCCGAACTAGTGCTTACACTCAATTGTTTTTCATTCGGAGACAACTATTTCAAAGAAACTAATGGCGTAGTCATGAGTACTAAAATGTGACCCAACCATGATGCTAATCTTTTTGTAGGTTTTGCTGAACACCAATTATTCAGCCAATACAACGGCCCTAAACCTGAACTCTACGGTCGCTACAATGACGACTGTACCGGCACTACCTCCTCTACCAGAGAGGAGCTAGCTCGATTTATAAACGCAGTCAATTCCTTTCACCCAGCTCTCAAATTTACCTTAGAAATTTCCGACTATTCTTTATCCTTTTTCGGCATCAAAGTTTCAGTTGAAGGCAACGGCCGGTTCATGCACTAGTGTATAGTACAAACCTACAAACTCACAGAGTGTTGTATTCATCTTCACATCCATCTCATGTCAAAAATTCCATTACCCTTTTCTCAGTTTCTAAGGCCTCGTCGTTTATGTAGTGATGATTCTGAGTTTTTCGACAAATCAGAGTTAATGTGCCAGTTTTTCGTAAAAAGTGGTTACCCTGTTTGTGTCGTTCAAGCGGGTCACCACCGCGCCAACAAGGGGAGGAACGATGACGATTTTCAAATTATACTTCGTAAAATTACGAAGAAAGATGAGCATTACTAAAATCTAGTGGAACGAAACGAAATGACAGCAACACAAATCGCAGAAAAAAATATCTAATGGGTCTAAAGTTTGACAGTTGAATCAACAGACACGACTCTTACCTGGAATGGATCCGTAACTATAATATATCCTTTGTTTGCGCTTGTTGCATAACTCTCAAAGAGGACAATTTCTTTGTCCTTAAAGCTGTTTGTTGAAACCGACAATTTGTGTTGACGACCTTTAAAAAGCCGAGTTTAGGCTATTCAAGAACAAATATTGCGTGGAAGGAAGGTGTGATGTGAAGGTGTGATGACATGGCGGTTGTGAATTTTAGAGCTCCGTTAATTTGCCTAGCTCTTAATCGGCTTATTTCTACGATTATGCTTACTTCAATGTTCGAAATCAAATGCTTTTAACCCACTGGTCCAAAGCAATGTCTCTATAAAGCCTGAATCTACAAATCTGCTTGGTTTTGAAGCCTTCATAAAAACGCATCATCAACAACACCGTTCTCCTACGTTTCCCTCTACGTTGTGCATCCTACTCAACCTACTTCTGCTATGTGGCGACATTAATGTAAACCCTGGTCCAGCTTGGAAATTCCCTAGCAAGTCCTGTAAAAAACCCGTTAAGTCTAACCAACGAGGTATACAATGTGATTCATGCGATTCTTGGTTAAACGCACGCTATCTAAGTATGGACAACGCTGAATATCAATCACTTGCAAATTCGTCCTGCTTGTGGATCTGTCCCTAATGCGACGTTCCTAACTTCTCAAATTCGCTTTTGGATCTATCTACTACTCCTTCTCTGGCCCTATATAACTCCTTTGATGTTCTGTCTAACTCCGTGGCTAATAATTCAAACAATTTTCGGATTTCAAGTTCACCGATATGTGCACCGAGGCGTAACAAAAGAACCAAATTAAAAGGAATGATAATAAACTGCAATAGCCTCAAAAGTGTCAACCATTCTACTGAATTTAAAGCACTCTTGGAGCTTCATGATCCAGATATTGTCCTGGGAACTGAATCTAAGCTTAGTCCGGATATTCCATCATACTCAATTTTCCTGCAATCTTATACGATCTTTAAAAACGATAGAAATGCTTTTGGCGGTGGCGTCTTCCAAGCAATCAAGAATGATCTAGTATGCACCGAAGAACCTGACTTCAAAGTGGATGACTGCGAAGTCCTATGGTCCTCCCTGAAAGTGGCCAATCACAAAACATTGTACCTTTCAACCTTTTACAGACCACCAAACTCGTCTGCTGAGATACTCGATCATCTTGGTGACACCATTAACAATGTCTTCGCGAAAGTCCCAATCCATCCGAACATCATCATGGGTGGAGACTTCAACTTGGGCGATATCGATTGGAACCAAGAGATCCCGTGTACAACCAATCCTGCTACCACGGCTCAGCATGACAAATTTATGCATATGCTTGACGATTACTCATTATTTCAACATGTCAAAGCCCCCACCAGACCTGTATCCTGGAAAACACTCGATCTACTTTTATCTACCTATCCAAACAGTGTCTCTCATGTCTCTATTTCATCTGGCTTGAGCGATCATCTCATAGTAAACTTTGACATTAATTTAAAGCCCCACTGATCAAATAAACCTCCTCATAAGGTGTTTAACTACAAAAGGGCTGATTTTAATGGTCTGAATGCTTTAATTACGAAGTCCTCATCTGAATTCTTCGCCGCACACCCATGGCAGAACTCCGTGGAAGAAAACTGGTCTGCTTTTAAAAATGCTGTAACTTCTGGAATCAATATCAATTTATACCTCAAGGATCTTCCAAGTCTAAGTTTAAGCTTCCGGCCTTGGATCAACCCCCAGATAAAACGTGAAATGCGCAAAAAAGATCGACTTCACAAAAAGGCAATTCACTCGAAAAATCAGCATCATTGGAAGGAGTTTAAACGTCAACGAAACTATGTATCAAATCTGATCAAAGAATCACACAGCCGTTATCTTAATGACATCATCGGAGAAAGCCTTAGGGACAACCCTAGCCCTAAAAAGTTGTGGTCTTACGTCAAGCACAACAAATCTGAGAACCTTGCCATCCGACCCCTCAAATCTGAACATGGGCTGAGCTTCTCAGACAAAGATAAGGCCGAATCTCTAAATTCCTATTTCTTCTCTGTGTTTACTAACGAAGAGATGCCTCCACCTAGTGTCTCTACATCTCCATGCCTCTCCATCTCTGATCTACAGATATCTCCTGAAGGTGTCGCTAAACTGCTATCTCAGCTGAACCCTAAAAAAGCCTGTGGCCCGGATGAATTGCCATCACGTGTGTTGAAGGAGATATCCCACTCAGCGTCTGCGTGGCTTGCTCAGTTTTATTTTCTAGCAATCTCTTAACAAAAACTCAGTCCCGTCTGATTGGAACAAGGCCCTCGTTACCGCTGTCCACAAGAAAGACAATAAATCTGTTCCCTCAAACTACCGGCCAATCTCATTAACTTCCCTGCTGCAAAATTATGGAACATATAGTGCTCAGTCATTTAGCTAAACACCTGTCGAAAAACAATATCATTATAGACGAGCAACATGGTTTCCGTCAGCGTTACGGCTTGTGAAACCCAATTAATATCTGTCATTCACGACTGGGCAAGATCTATTAATGCACGCAATCAGACAGACGCCATTCTACTTGATTTCTCGAAAGCCTTCGACTCCGTCCCTCGCCAAAGATTACCTCTGATGCTAGACTATTATGGGATTAAAGGGAACGTCCTCCTGTGGATCAAAGCCCTCTTACTAAATCGTTCTCAATGTGTTTCCATCAATGGCATTAAATCGACTTCCACGCCCGTTCTATCTGGTGTCCCACATGGCTCTATACTGGGCCTAGTATTATTTCTACTCTACATAAACGATATCTCTAAATCTGTTACCACCAATCTGCGTCTTTTTGCTGATGACTGTATCTCATATATCTTTGCAGGACGACCTGGATCTGTTATGCGCTTGGTCTAAAACCTGGCAACTCGGTTCTAACGTTAAAAAATGCTATCATCTAGGTGTTACATGTAAAAGAATTCCAACCTCCATCAATACACCTTAAATGGCTTGCCAATAGCCAAAGTGGACTCCACAAAATATCTCGGAGTAACAATATCAAGTAAGCTGAGTTGGAATGAACATGTAGATCAAGTCTGCAAGAACGCCAACTCTACCTTAGGCCTTCTCCACCGAGTTTTGTCAAGGTGCGACCGTAAAGTTAAAGACACTGCATATCGTACTCTTGTACGTCCCAAAGTG